TGTGATATTTCCTAAAGGGTTTGACACCAGAAAAGGCGAAAGAGTATTTGGCTCGGGACGGACCCAACGCACTGACACCGCCTAAGACAACACCCGAATGGATCAAGTTTTGCAAGAACCTGTTCGGTGGTTTCGCCATGTTGCTCTGGATTGGAGGTGTCCTATGCTTTGTCGCCTACTCTATACAGGCCGGCACTTTCGAGGAGCCCCCGGACGACAATGTATTATCACTTTTGCCATTCATTCATTATTTATGAAAACCATTTTTGTTTATCATTCCCAGCGGTTAATAGTGTAGTAATTTATTATATTGTATTTATGCGGTTACCACTGGCTATATCAGAGTTGATGTAGCATTGTGAATTAAAAATCATGGTGACGCACCGTCTAGATTAAATTATATCAATTAAATTAATGCTATAATTACAGTGATTAATAAATGTTGCGCTATTTTTGTCTCCCATTTGGTACTGCAGTTATATTTAGGATGTGTTTTGGTAGCGGTGGTTATGGTGACCGGAATCTTCTCCTACTATCAAGAGGCCAAGAGCTCTAAGATAATGGAGTCGTTCAAGAATATGGTGCCCCAGGTATTCAATCAATTTACATAATTCACTTATACATAATTAAAACATTTACATATAGCTAAAAACACTAGTTGTTTGATGCTTGTTTTATACGCATAGAAATTGATTTTACATGCTCAAATTGAATTTTCATTTATTAATATTGTTATACAAAGTATTAGTATTTTGTGTAATTCCGGTGCTTATAAAGAGCTTGTTATGGTGTCTGTGCTGTGTATGTGATGCCGAAGTGGCAGTTAATTCCCCTCCAGTGCCCATCAGTTGTGTTGCCTTTTTAGTAGAGAGTAATTCATTGAAAATGCTATGCCTTTAGAGAATTTGCTGGGTTTTTATCATTTGAACCGAAACTAAAACAATACACACAATAGTAATAATGATAACAATAAAAGAGTCGACTCTTTTACCCGCTATAATATACTTCGGTTTTAACGGCAACTTTAGAGAATTTGCTGGGTTTTTATCATTTGAACCGAAACTAAAACAATACACACAATAGTAATAATGATAACAATAAAAGAGTCGACTCTTTTACCCGCTATAATATACTTCGGTTTTAACGGCAGAGGAATTGAGTGTAAAAAACACAATATATTTTCTCTGTCAATACAGGGCTCAGGAAATAAAGGATTTATATTTTCATTTTGTTTGTTACCATAGATTTTGAAGTTCAAAAGTGAAAGTTTTGGTCCAAATGTTTTATTTTTAGATGTATTTGTTTTATAATATTCCCATCAAACAAAAGATTTAATGTGATAAATGTGCCATCATGAGATTCTATTATTTATCATACATAATATATACCTAATGTAATATTATATAGAGTTTAATTTAGTTATTTTTAAAAATACCTTTTAAAATAAAATTTTAAAACATTTAAATAGTGAATAAATGTTTAATTTTAATAGAAACCAATTTAAAAGTGAATGCATTAATAAAATACCAATTGTTTGGTTTCAAATCACACATTAAATCCCTGCTGAGACTGCAAATGAATTTTTTAGAAATGCCACATCGAGATCAATTTGATACAGAATCCAATGATAGGTTGTTTATGGTTTCCCATAACATATAATTTTCACATTAAATAAATTACAGGGCATTCCGTTTTTGTTGACAGAATATTCTTTTATAAAGTACAATGAATTCTCCGCTTTGTATTGAATACTCCGTAAAACACAAGAATGTGTTGTTTTGCGTCTGTTTTTTAGGAAATTAAAAACATAATCAATGTTTAGGTGCAGTATTTTTGGTAAAGTACTATAAAACGATTAACGTGACACTTCTGCCGTAATTACTTTTATAGTATTTATATATCAAAGCAACAGAAAATGCATTTGAAAATATCTTAAATTACTTTTTTAACACATAATAAGTGATAACATTATTTTGAATTAATCATCTGTTTGTATGGATAGTACGCGACTGTCATTAGAGGCGGACAGAAGTACACGTTTCCGGCCGAAGAGTTAGTGGTCGGAGATCTGGTGGAAGTGAAGGGCGGCGACAGAATACCAGCCGATTTGCGTGTTGTGTCGGCTCAGGGATGCAAAGTCGACAACTCGTGTCTGACGGGCGAGTCTGAGGCTCAGTCGCGATCGTCGGAAAACAATTCAGACAATCCGTTGGAGTCCAAGAATTTGGCCTTTTTCTCGACCAACTGTGTGGAGGGGACGGCCAGAGGGCTGGTCATCAACACTGGCGACCGCACTATTATGGGTCGAATCGCGAATCTGGCCTCCGGTCTAGAGATGGGCACCACACCGATCGCCCGCGAGATCGAGCACTTCATACACATCATCACAGGTGTGGCCATCTTTCTGGGCATCACGTTCTTCGTCGTGGCCTTTG